AATTCAAAACTTTTTATTTTAGCTGTCATTTATCTCAACATCTGATTTTTCTTATCGTCTTTTCACGTCTTTGAAATCTCCGACTTTTTTCTGGAATTGTCTTTTTTCCGTCTTTATTGTGGCTCCTCAGAAAAAGAAATTAAACATGTTTAATATAAAAAAAAAAGAAACAACTTTATATAAATCTGAGACAGAATTAACCCGACGTCCTCTCAGGTGAGACTTTACCTGCAGTTTCACCTGTTCATGATGAGGAGATGCTGAGTCAGCGTTCTTCAAAACGGACTTTAATTTTTCTGTTTCTGAGAAATCGATGAACTCCGAATAAAAACAACAGATGTAATCGTAATTTTGTATCCTACCTGAACTCTGTTGACACCTGAACTCTGTTGACACCTGCATTGTGTAGCTGTGTTATGCACCTGCCTGCATGGAATCATATTTGCACATTGTCTTTTTTATATTTGTTCATAATTTAAAATGAACACAAAGAGCCTTTTGTTTGAATTTGTTTCATAAACCAAAAGATGAAAATGATGTTTGGAGAGTTTTATTTTACCTGAAGCTTTTTAAAGGTGCATTACACAAATTAATTAATGCACTTCAACCTTTAATCTCTACAGCAGTTCATACATTAGACCAGAAAAACAAAGAGACACTTCATCATTCAGACAATATTCTATAACTATCTACAAATACATGGACTATTACCATCTACAAAGACAAGGACAATAACTGCAGGGTGTCCGCGGGGTCTTGAGAAGTATTTAAAGATGTTAAATCAGTTGTGGAAAAATAAAGGCCCTTAAAAAGAATTAAAAAGTCTGAATTGCGATTTAATGAGGTATGAAATTTAATTGGTAATCAAGCTTTGATTCCAAAAAGTACCATGAATGTTTAACCCCCTTTTCACAACTATTACAAACAACGACGTGTATGGAGTTAAATTTCTGTCAAAACTCTGTGAACGAAGAAAAAAGGTTTTTACAAAGACAGTTGAATTTATTTGCAAAGATGGATGCTTAGCATAAAAAAACACGTCTTTCCTTCGACTACAATTCATATTTCTCTACAACAAAAAATAAAAAATCTTTACAAGAAAAAAAATCTTTGTGTGACTCTTTATCTGGGTGGGTGAGAGGAGGATGTTAACAAAGCTTGTATCCGTCCCTCTCACCCACTGCACCAGACTGTGGGGGCTTTAAGCAGCTCCTTCAGCAGCAGACTGAGACCCCCACCTTACAAGACGGAGCGCCACCACAGGTCATTCCTCCCCTCTGCAATAAGACTTTACAACGAACTGCAATAATAACTGGATTTACACCACCACTTTTTTCTGGCATTTCAATCGTGTATATTGTAGATAGTTTTATTTTTCTTCTCAATTTCTCCTTTTTCTAAATTTTTTCTTAATTACATTTATTTAAGTTCTTAATATTAGGATCTTTATTTTTATAACTGCATTTTTGACTATCTTTGTCTGTGATGCTGCTGTGACAGATCAATAAAGGAATATTCTATTCTATCTGCAAATACATCAAAATATTTCCTTCCAGTACAAATTTTTTCTTCCTACAAGTATAAAAATAAACCCAGATAAATTTCTGCTCATATTTGCCAGCTGTGGACTAAAACTGAAGTTTTGGTAGGTAATTTTCCAACCAGCAGGTGGCGCTGTGGCTTAGTTTACAGGTGTTGTAGTGGAGTGGTCCACAGATATGTATAATTTAAAACCCCAACGGTTTTAATTTGTGGTGAGTAATGATCGGAAAGTGAAGTGTTTAGCTCTTTGTGTCGTTTTTGTTGAATAGACCATAAAATAAAACATTTTATTCGCTCAAACGTTTAAACTGATGTGACTTTTGTTGTAGTGTAGACGCTTAATTCTAACCTAATACCAGCTATTTTTATGTCTGCCGAAATATGCATCCATCCGTTAATTAACAATTAAGAAAACAATAAGTCATACTTTTGTAAATATTACACGAGAAAAGTCCACAAAATGGACTGACAACAGTTTGTGACTCCAAAATATCAAAAATAAAAACTTTATCATCTTTAGTCCAATAAAATACTCTGCTGAGACCATAGACTGTAATAATAATAATAATAATGCATCAGATTTCATATAGCACTTTATCAGAGACCCTCAAAGCGCTTTACATTGGATACATCATTCATTCGCTCACACAGTCACACTTTGGTGGTGGTGGAAACGTGGCTGCCATTCTGCGCCTACGGCCTCTCCGACCACCACCACACAACACTCACAATCATACACCAGTGGAGGACACACACTGGGAGCAAGGTGGGTTAAGTGTCTTGCCCAAGGACACAACGGACAGACTTGGATTAGGGGGGAATTGAACCGCCAACCTTCCAGTTATTGGACGACCGCTCTAACTCCTGAGCTACTGTATATATATACTTTATATAATATATACAGTCTATTTTATATAATATATACTGAGCAGCATGGAAGAGTAAATAGATTTACCATAAGTTTGAGAATATGAGGGCATTAAAAAAATGTGCACAGAGAAACTCAGAGAAACTTTCGTTTCACTTTGTTGAAGTGAAATAAAGAGGAAAAAACAAAGTTATTCAGCGAAGCTTGTCACTCATTAAAAAACAAGTTTTTACTGAACTTTTGTCTTTCACCACTTAAATTTCAGCAATTAGAGTTTTCCACGTATATTTACTTTACACCAACACTCACAATAACCTTCTTTAATACAAAATCTCTTCATTTTTGCTGATTCGTCTTATTTCCCCTGATATCCAGAATGACCACACCTGTCTGCACATGTGGAGCTTCTTCAGGTGTTCCTGGATGAGCCGTCTTCACTGTTGATGGTCAATGATAAGGTGACTTTTTTCCATTTAAAGAAAACACAGTATGGTGAGAATAACTTTGTGTGTTTTAGGCAGTCAGTGAAAACACAGCGCTGCACATCCAGGAACTAAAAAAATGACCTGCCGTCTTAGCTGGTACCTGATGGACCTGTAGTCGCCCCTTTTTCACCTCTGGGTTCAGTGATAATCTGGATTAAGGATCCTGAAAAGGATTAGATGAAGTTTAGAAACGCTGTCAGTCAGACTCTTCGGTCTATCGTTGTAGTATTTGTCAGAATGATGGACGTCGTTTCAGTGAAACATGCCCAATATAAATTACTGTGTGATACCCACAGGAGATATTTACTTTGTTTGGTTTCACACTTTTTAATGACTTATTGTTTTAAACATTAAATTATGGTTTAGGTTTTTGTTTTCAAAATAAAAACAGTTTCATTAGATTTCAACCTCAAAAGTTGACGTGAATTTTAAATAAACGCATTTGATTTGATATTAGGGTGTAAAACAGCCTTCAACTATGTTTGTTTCTTTGAATAACTGGATGTGTTTCTACTACTTCAAATTCAGGGTTATAGTTATACAACAAATAACACATTAAATGTACAACTACAGGTTGTAATTGACAACCCAAGTATCATTTGTTGAAGTTCATTTTCTTTTCAGTTATCTGTATAATGACTAAATCTGCATGTCTGTTTTAAAATTATTATTATTATTATTGTTATTATGTTGCTTTTTAGTTTTTGTAACATCATTAAAATTCAGACATTCATGCTATAATTCATACATACATTCATTCATATACAAATCAGTTATATATATATATATATGTATCTTTATAGGAACAAATGTATGTATGAATAAGTTTACTGCTTTTTCTTAAATCACCTGATGTTTGTTTTCAGACATAAATCTTCATGTTTTCGGGTTTTTAATGTTGGTATTTTTGTGGGAATTTGCAGAATTTGGTGGATTTCAGTTTAAAAAAAAAACCCACATTTTGTTGACTGTTCATGGAAATTCTTAAGAATGAAAAAAGCCTTGTATAAAAGCTTTTTAATTGTGTTCAACCCTAAACGTTCATTTGTACCGAACTTACAACTCTTTTTTCCAAGAGTACCCAGATGCAGCGCCAAGATGGCGGACCCAAAGATAAAAAACCACATTTACAAAACGCAATAAGTTTCCGCATTACCTCCGATTGGCGGACCCAAAACATGAACTTTGAACTTCTGCTTTGCGATGCCAGAACAGTAGGTGGCGGTATGTACCTACACTTTCTGACGGCAAAATTTACAGAAGAAGAAGAACTCTCAGGAAGTTTGAAAAGAAGCAAGCCGTCCGCATTCATTCAATCTCACATCCGACCACTCAAACTAACCCTAACCCTGCATTCCATTGTTTCCATCATGGGAAATCTAAGTGACGCTCTCAAATTAACAGGAACATTGCGCAGAAGATATGTCCTGGGCAATGGACTGAGAAAACGGGCAGAGATTTGGAGGTATTTGTGCATGCTCTATATTACAGTTGAAAAGTGTATAACAGCTTTCCAATGCTGTTACTTGTGGCGAACACCTTTTTGCTTGAGTTGATGCGTGCCCGCAGGTGGAATAATGTCACATGTCACACACATTTTCTGTTGTTTTGATTTATTTACTCATTCATCATTTTATGTGCGCACCTCTCCTAATCAACCCACCCATTAAATAGACGGGCACAATAGCACCATCTGCGGGCACAAAAAATACATAACAATAAACTGCAAAACCCCAATCTGGCTCCTACAAAGTGTATGTGACAAGATGATTAACGTTTGCTTTTGTTAAATCAGGGCTTCCCCAGCCAGGACTTCGGCTCAGACTGTGGCATATTCATGTTGATGGTAGGTCATAACGAGCTGTAATGCACAAATATTGTATCTAGAATAACTTTCCAACATGGACTTTTTTAAAGTTATCTCACATGTTGTCTCATAATTTTTTTTTAAAGTCTGCCATGTACATCGTTATGGAGTCACAGTTTGACTACTCAGTTGTAAGTACTTTTCAACACGCAGTATCATCCTCAAGATTGTATTTTGTATTGTGCACTAAAATGAAATACAAACAACAATTTCAGCATGACATGCCTGTTTGGCGGCGATGGTGGTGCCTGTTGCTCCTGGAGAACAATTCTTTGAACAGGTAGACAGTTTAAGTAAACTAGATGTCCTAATTAACTGGAAGACAATCAATATATTGTACTTAAAGACATATTGTCATTACAGTTGTGGGAAAATCTTCGCCCACTGGACCAAAGAATGTCAAGAGCTCATTGCTGGAAAGCATACTCCGGTCTTCAGTCTAAAGAGGAAGGCAGAGCAGCAGGACATAGAGGTTAGAAAATTGCCTTGTAAAAACAGTATTATCTCAGTGGGAGTCCTTCAAAATGCACACAGTTGTATGGATCAACATTGTCTCGATGTATTTGGTAATTGATGTTACTTTTCAAATTGCCTTGTCAAGGAAACCATGACGCAGACGGTATCGGATGTCCAAAGAATGTGCATGGCAGATTCAATGCAATTCTGTGTCTACCAGACATCGAACAACACAGGAGAGGGGTGTGTTGCAGACTCAATTTAATAAATGCAATTATCGGGGCCTATTCAGTGATTTTCCATGAAGTGACCACTTTTACATATAGTTTAAATGCACGAATCATGCAGGAAAATTATTTATACATTCAAATGTGCTGCAGAGGTATAATCAATTGGACAGCGTGTTTGTTTGATATTATGTTTGTCTCTCATTTGATCAGATTGCTTTACCCTGAGGTAAACGTCATAAAATGGGTCCAGTGCAAGACGTGCAGGGGCTGGCTGCATCAGGATTGTGCTGGGATTGAAATGGAGCCGTTTGACTGCGGGTGCGAGGACTCCATTGAGCATCCTCGGTATAACATAATTTATCAAGGAAACATAGTATCAGTCAAAAATACGAGGCTCAAAGGATGAAAAAATGAGGGCTTGCTCTTTTCTTATTTCTCTGCAGGATCAAGGATGCTGTTGACAGTTGAGGAATTCATGCTGTCTTTTCTAAGACACAGATCAAGGTTGCTTTTGAATGCACTATCAGTTGTTAAAGCCACCGTTTCTTTTTCAGATGATTACATTTTTGTCTCTTGCTCTTTGGTTTCAGACATTACACGATGATCTACTGTCTGGAAAGATCCGCTCCAACAGAATGTTCCTTTGGAGGAATCCCGCCACCTCACTCCGACTAAAGCAGCATCTTAAGATAAGGACACTAAGTTGGAGTGAGCAGCGCGTAAGTAAAAATGCCATCCATCATGAGTATTTTTACTCTCAGGGGTGTTACATTTGAAAGGTGTTTACTTTCTGTGTTTTTCTTCAATAGATGTTCGAGCTCCTGCGGTTCATTGAGGTGGCAACAAACATTTCTAAAAAAATAAAGAGAGGCGAGATTCATCTGCTTGATTTCGTTTTTGACGTCATGCTCCCAGAGGTGAGTAGATCAAACTATATAGCTTGCTTTGAAAAATGATGATATTGTTAAGAGGTTGTTCTTATTCATTTGGAAAGCTCAAGAACAACAATTAACCCATACTGCATAACTTCAATTGTTCACATTATTTGACTGTTTTTCAGCTTTTGATCAAAGCACTGAAGGAGCATGGCATCAACCGGTTCAGAGCAGAGCTGATGATGGCCTGTGGCAACGTGTTTTAAGCCCCCCACCACACCGACGGCAGTGCTGAATTTTGTATAAATATATATTTTTTTACTGTTCACAATTTTGTTTGGAAAAAATTAAAGAAATCTTCAAAGCAGTTGTATGACAATTTCCCATTTCTTTACACAGTCTGTAATGATATCGCTATTCAATTGTTTTTGCTATATGGCTCTTCTGAACCTTAAAGAGATCATGTGACTTGTGTCTCTACAACTATTGTATACTTGGATTTTGCACAGTCAAGCAATCCTGAAGAGGTTCACCAGGAAGCACACCATTTCATAAATGATGTCCCTGGTTACACAATGTTACTAAAGGATGGGGGGAGTAAATTTGTGCAGCAACATAAGCACTCTCATAAAACATAATTATGAACAACAGAAAATATGTGAGGGTCAGGGCAACATTGTTGACATTAAACGAGGTCACAGAGAAGTTAAGAAACATTGATGTGCTGTGTAATAAAGCTATTGGAGAGAAAAGTTAGAAAACACTGTTATATGATGTGTAACGAGAGGTTAAAACAGTCCATACTTGTAGCAAACTCTTACAAAAGAATTTGAGTAAGATGATAACTTCTATATACATTTACCTATTCTGACAAATTATCAGAATATGAGGACATCAGGCTATATATACATATTACTGTAAACTTCAGAATTAAATCAGAACAAAACAGTAGTCATAATTAATACATAAACGTTTTATTTTGATTTTTAGCTCAATAATAAATTTAATTCGATTCTTATGGAATGAACGGAGCAAAAAAAAAAGGATCCGGCGACTAAATCCGACTACCTGAAGTATTTCGGCGCCGGAAGTCCGCCAACGAGAAAGCCTTTCCACCGGAAGTAATTGTTTTGGGTCCGCCAATCGGAGGAACTTATTGTGTTTTGTAAATGTGGTTTTCTATCTTTGGGTCCGCCATCTTGCGCTGCATCTGGTCACCTCTCCTTTTTTCCGACTGCTCGTAAACGTCCCGGAAGTCACGTGAGGAAAACTTTACCTGCGCATCAGAGGTAAACACTCTCCTGCGGTCTGCGAACTCCTGCTGTTATTCCGGATCTGGTGAGTAAATTTGTTCTCTTTGTAAGAATTGTGTGTGAGTTTTTATGTCGGGGTTAATTTTATCCACTAAACTGTATTTTTACTCTGAAACTGTCCGGTTAGCTAAACTAGCGTAGATCGAGCGCAGCCGCGTCTCGTTGTTTCAGTGACGTTGGTTCACGTTCAGAACAGTGACGTGTCCGACGCTTCGGAGCGTGTTTAATCCACTGCTCTGGTGTCGGCTAATCCCGAAAAATTTCGCGTGTGGAAGCTCGTGTTGATGACGTATGTGATGACGTTCGAAGCCGGCCGTACCACGTGACCGACTTAGGAACCGGTTCGGTTCGCGGGTTCGATGGCAGTTTAAGTCCGAGTGGATTTTTAATCGACTACTGAGGATCTGGAGAAATCTCTGTACCAAATGGACCAGAACCAGAACCAGGACTGGATGGTCCTGATCCTCAGGGCGTTAAAAACAGACTGGACTCTGGAGTGGAAATCTCACATGGACTCAGAATCACTTTAAAAACCATCAACTGTGAAACTCAGATCGTCACTGAAGAACGAGGAGAGCAGATAGAATCCGACAGGAAGTACGAGACGATCAAAATGAGAATCAGAAAAAATTTTATTGATCCCAAATTATTGTTTTAGAGAACAAAAAAATATATAAATTATACAAATATATACAAATATAAAAATATATAAAAATATACAAATATATGAAAATGTAAAAATATACAAATATATAAAAATGTAAAATATAAAGATATATAAAAATATATAAAAATGTAAAAAGACACATGATGAGAAATGACCTAAATATGAAATAATAAAAACATATAAATCACAGATTTTTTTCTCACATTTGTTGATTTTTTTTGGATTTCATAGATTTTAAAATCTCTGAAGACTCGAGGGAACAGCCGACAGGTTCTCAGCTCAAAACCAGAATCCCTGATGGTTCTGGACCAGAAACACATTTGGAGACTCATAATGACCCCCGAAAAGGACAAAGAAGACCAGAACTGTTGAGCAGCAGTAACCCTCCAGAACCTGGACAGCTGGGTCCACTCAGGTCTACAGAACCGGGTCACAGAGAGTTGGAGAACGTAGATCTGGACTTGAATCTAGATGTTTCTTAAAGAACATGAATATCTCTGATGTTAATCTGATGTTTTTAATGAACCTTCGTTTGTTTGAGCGACGTCACCGTGGAAACCTGGAATGTCCGAGGGTCTGTGAACGCATCATCACCGTAATTACTGAACCAATCGATCAATACCGACGAGAGCTGGGAGCAGCAGAGGGAGAGGATCAATAAGTCCGAGTGGAAACACTGATCATGAAGTTCACATAGAGCTCCATCCATATGTGCTGCTGTATGGAAAGCAGTGAAATCAATGATGATTTGGACCGATCAATAACTGATCGGAGCTGTTCCTCTCTGGTTCTGGTTCTTGATGAAGTCAAGTCTTCGTGACGTAAATATGATCAATTTTTTAACTCGTAAAGTTTCCTGATGATCGGATAAAGAGCTTTGTGATCCAGTCCAGGACAGCAGAACCGTCACAGACTGAGAGAGGGGGACCCAGTCTGAGGTTCTGGTTCTGGTCTTACAAACTGGTCGTCTGAGGAGGATTTCACAGTGTTTGATTTGGATCTGACTGTCATGGTGAAATGAAGACGATGTCTGATCAGGACTGTCTCTGATGGTTCTGATGGTTCTGATGGTTCTGTGGTTCTGTGGTTCTGTGGTTCTGATGGTTCTGATGGTTCTGATGGTTCTGATGGTTCTGTGGTTCTGATGGTTCTGTGGTTCTGGGGTTCTGATAGTTCTGATGGTTCTGATGGTTCTGATGGTTCTGGGGTTCTGGGGTTCTGATAGTTCTGATGGTTCTGATGGTTCTGTGGTTCTGATGGTTCTGTTGGTTCTGATGGTTCTGGGGTTCTGGGGTTCTGATAGTTCTGATGGTTCTGATGGTTCTGTGGTTCTGATGGTTCTGATGGTTCTGTGGTTCTGATGGTTCTGATAGTTCTGTGGTTCTGATAGTTCTGATGGTTCTGTGGATCTGGTGGTTCTGATGGTTCTGATAGTTCTGATGGTTCTGTGGTTCCGATAGTTCTGTTGGTTCTGGGGTTCTGGTGGTTCTGATGGTTCTGTGGTTCTGATGGTTCTGTGGTTCCGATAGTTCTGTTGGTTCTGATGGTTCTTATAGTTCTGATGGTTCTTATAGTTCTGGTGGTTCTGATGGTTCTGTGGTTTATGGAGGGTGAAGCTTTATCAGCTGATCTGCCATCAGAGCAGAGAGCGCTGCATCAGCACTTTCCCTGCCGCTGACTGTGTGTGTGTGTGTCTCTGTGTGTCACTGTGTGTGTGTGTGTCTGTGTGTGTCACTGTGTGTGTGTGTGTGTGTGTCTCTGTGTGTCTCTGTGTGTGTGTGTGTGTGTGTGTGTGTGTGTGTCTCTGTGTGTCACTGTGTGTGTGTGTGTGTGTGTGTGTCTCTGTCTCTGTGTGTCTCTGTGTGTCACTGTGTGTGTGTGTGTGAGGCTGGTGTGCGCGCGCATGCATGTGTCCCGGCCAAAGCCTGAATAATTGATGAGTAGGAAGGAGTAAAGCTCGACCGGACGGACGGACGGGCCGCTGTGTGTGTGTGAGTGTGTAGAGATGGAGGAGAGGAACACGGCGTGGAGAGAGCCGAGCTACGACGGGCTCTGCAACTACGCCCAAAAACTGAGCTCCTGCTTCGGGCTGGACGGTAAGATGAAGGCGGAGGAGATGGAGGGGAGGGGGTTGTTTGTGTTTCTTCTGGACGTCGTGTTTTTGACGCAGAGATCAGTCTCCTGTTTGCTGAGTGTGTCTGTGTGTGTCTGTGTGTGTCTGTGTGTGTCTGTGTGTGTCTGTGTGTGGATGTGTGTGTCTGTGGGTGGATGTGTCACAGTGAGTACAGAGTGGATGAAAGTGGAGGACGGAGCTTCACTGCAGTAAAAAACTCGTCCTGTGAGTCTGAATGTAGAGCAGTAACCTCACTGCTGCACCTCAACTGTCCGGATGAATAAATGAGTGAGTGAGTGAGTGGATGGATGAATGGATGGATGGATGAATGGATGAATGGATGGATGGATGGATGAATGGAGGTGCTCTCCAAATGTAAGTTGGGTCGTCGGTAGATGTCAGTCGTAGTTTTTCACAGCCAGCAGCTCCGGCCAATCGCGTGTCGGCAGACAAAGTCATTAAATTTGAAGCGTTTCCACTCAGAGGAGATTTTGTGCGTCGTCATTGTGCGCTGCGCTCTTCACTGCGCCTCAGTGACCTTTTTCATTTAGCAGAGAGCTGTGATTCGCTGTATCTGTTTGATGGATATTACATATCAGCGAATGTTTCTAATACGAGTCAAAGTGGAGTCGCTCTCTGCGGAGGTTTATGGTTTTAAAGTCTGAACTCTGTTTCGAAGAAAGATCATCTCCTGTGTGACTTTGAGGACAAGCAGCTGAAGATGTTTGTTTCATGGATTTGTGTTGTAGAAAAACTCTGAGGATCAAAAAAAAAAAATCATCCAGAGGATTAAAAACTCAGAGACATGATTTGGATGAAGGTCCAGCTGATGAATCTGAACGTCTCTGATGTTGGAGCTGAAGCCTCCTGCTGTTTGTGCTTCACTGGGTTGGATGACCTTACTGGTTGGTGACCTTGTGAAGGACTGGCAGATGCCCAGAGCGATCTGCCCCCCAGTGTTTGTGTGACGCTGCACAGTCCACACACACACACACACACACACACACACACACACACACACACACACACACACACACACACACATTAGAGCTGCACACTGCGATGTTCAGTCAGGACCACTTTGCTGTAGTTACTCGCATTCATAAATGATATTTGGTTCATGTTGGTCTGGTTCTGTTGGGAGGAACCAGCGAAGGACGGTCAGCTGAAGGTTTAGAGAGAACGCTGAACTGATCAGCTGATTTATGGAGGTCCACCTGACCTTTTGAGAGCTCAGTTTTGGTCCATTTTCAGAAAAGTATGAAGAACATGAAACATCAAATTAATTTTGTTTTTTTCAGAAACTTAATTTCCAAATCGAACATGGACAGTTCAGACCGTAGGGTTAAAAAACACTTTAATGTTTTCTCTCAAACAATCACAGTGTCGTGGGGAAAACAGGCGCAGTCGGAAACATGCTGTGATCGTGGTTTTGATTGACAGCCGGCCTTCTGAGGTGCAAAAATATTTTAAAAAGGTACTTACAAATAAGTTACAAATTTTAGAAATGGTCAAAACTCTACTTTCAAAAAATTCAAGGCAACAAAATATTGGTAATAATAATAATAATAATAATAATAATTCTAATAAAAATATTTATATTGTTATTAATAATAATTACAACAATAATAAAAATATTTATAATAATAATAGTAATAATAGTAATGATGATGATACCAACAATAAAATAATAATAATAATTATAATAAAAATGTTTATATTATTATTAATATAATAACAACAATAATAAAAATATTTATAATAACAATAATAATTATTATTATTATATTAATAACAATAATAATAAAAATATGTATAATAATAATAATTAAATAATAATAATAACAACAATAATAAAAATATTTATAATAATAATAATAATAATAGTGATAATAATCATATTAATAACAATAATAATAAAAATATTTATGATAATAATAATAGAATAATAATAATAACAACAATAATAAAAATATTAATAATAATAATAATAACAACAACAATTATAAAAATATTAATAATAATAATAATAATAATAATAATTAAAATAATGATAACAATAATAAAAATATTTATTATAATAATAATTATAAATATAATAATAAAAACAATAATAATAAAAATATTAATAATACTAACAATAATAATAATAATAAAAAATAATAATAATAAAAATATTAATAATAATAAAATAATAATAATAATAATAATAATAATAATAATAATAATAATGATAAAAGCCAACAAAGGAAGAATTCTGCAAAAAAGAAAAAAAAAAGATTAAAAAAAACAGCAGCAAGACAAAAATCGAGTAAGCAGTAAAGTTCAGGAAACTTCAGACTGAAGAAAAGAGTCAGGTGGTCCAGTTTTAGACCCCCCCCCATAATTACTCTGATTATTCAGACAGGTGAGAGACAAAGAGTCTGATTCTGGTCTGAATCAGTTACTTTGTTTAAACAGGTCATTTTTTTGGACAGGTGAGAATAAATCATTCCTGATTCCTACCGTGTTTATATCCCCCCCCCCCCCCCCGGTCCCCTCGTGTGGAGCCTCTAACCCCACCCTGAAGATAATCTGAGGCCACGTCAGCTCTAAGCTCCTTAAGACTCTGTGCTGGGACTGAAGACGCTGCTGATTAAGCTTCTTTCCCCCTCAGCTCCACCTGCAGCAGAACGCTCCGTCATACCTGCTTCCTGCTGTTTGGCGCCATCTCCTCCAGCTGGATCTCGGTGCAGCATCGTGACCTCTGGAGAGGTTCTGAGGAGACGGGGGACAGGTGGAGAGACTCTTAGGAGAAGGTTTTACCTGAGGGGGGGGTTAGACCTCACTGGGTCTGAGGATGACTTCATGATCAGCTCCTCTTCCTCTGAACGCCGCTGTAAATGCCTCAGCAAAAACCCTTCGCCTTCATCGCCTGGAGCTGACGGGTCCTCAGAACCGGTCTGATCCCGACCCTGGCCAACATCTATTTACAGTGCTTCACCCTCCTGTGTGGGTCTGTGGAAGGGGAGCAGGGCGCCATGCCCACCCTGCCCAACCTCAACAGCCTTGGGAAGCTCTGCAGCTCCAGCCGCAGTCACAGCGTGGACCACGTCCGCGTGAAGAGGAAGAGCTCGGTGAAGAGGATGTCCATCATCGAGGACGGACACGTGGCTGAGGTCCTGTACCTCATTCCCAAACAGTACATGGAACAGCTGCCCTACCTGAACCCCAACGACTACTACCTGAGCGAGCGGCTCAACGACGTGGCCTCAGGTAGGACAGGAAGGACAATTCTACTATTGTACATCTACATCTACATCTATATTTCTGTCGGTTTATTTGACAGGTTCACATCAGGTGTGTCAGGACCGCGGGTGGGACAGATGAAATTATTCAATAACTTGTTTTTATAGAATCCTTCATAAAAACGTCTTTTCTCTTATTTTACTTTTTTTCTCCTGTTGATGGTCGACTGATTTCAGCTTTTTAACGGAGTAGATGTACAGCACGCTGATATCATGTTGGTCTTTATCACGATATTTGAATCATTATAACAGGATTTATAATTATCTGATTTTGAATGAACATGTTACTCTTATCGATGTGTTCTGGTGTCGGTTCAGTAAAAACGGACTCAGACGTCTATGATCACAAAAACAGGAAGGAGGAAAAATCTGCATGAAAGAAAAAAACACATACGCATTTGTTTTGTGTATTTTCTTGTGTTATAGACATGTTTGTAATATAGAGATATTTGTGTTATAGAGTTATTTCAATTAGGAGAGACAGTCAAAGAATAAATAAAATATTTATGATGAAAATTATTAGATTGACAGAAAATCTTCGACTCTATGGGGAGATTTTTTAAGACGGTGGGACGACCGATGAGTGAGACGGCAGGAAAAGAAGCTGCTGCTGGTTATGATGGTTTTCACATGAGAGCAGAACAATGATTGGCTGATGGTGAGGGTGTGCTACCGTGCTATTGGATAAAGAAAAAGCTAGTGACTGTCTAATTGACCAATGACTGCCCTGAATGATGAGAAACAGAGACTAAAGCAGCTGTGAGTGAAAATCGACCTGACTGAACTTCAGCTGGAGAGACATCTGTGTTATAGATGTAGTCTGTTATAGATGTATTTGTGTTATAGATGTTTTTGATGAACCCTTTTCCTGTAAATTTCACCCTATTGAATAAATTTGAAACCAGTTTCATAGAGGACGTACAGTTCTGGTGTTTTTCATGAAAACCTGCCCAGTTGTTTTTAAACAAAGAGGTTGAACTTAATTTTCCTAAATGAACTTTTACTGCAGTGTGAACAGAAACAGAAAAAGAGACACGGTGGTAAGGACAGAGTCTGAGGATGTTTAAACGTTCATATCAGAGACGAAGAGTCCCAAAGATCGTTTTATGTTTTATGAACAGACTCAGTTACAAACCCAACAGCCAATCAGAGCTCAGAACACATTCAAAGGTGAAAACTTTGAACTCTGGTTTTTCAGACTAAACATAAATCGACTCATTAAAGACGTTGGTTCAGATCTCAGATCTGTCGGCTCACAGCCTCTCAGAGTTTTTGATTTGTTGTTATAAACACGTTTCCTGTATGTTGGGTTGTGATTTCACCTTTGACCTCTGACCTGTGCGAGAATGAGAGAGTTTCTCAAACAGGAAAACCTCATAGAGAAAGTCTGACATGAATCTCCATCCTGGTTCTGGTTATATAACCTGAAATAACCCGTATGTCAGAACAGACCTGCTGCGTTTAGCAGAGCAGCTCTACATGGACTGACATGATGGCTTACAGCAGGATTACATGGTGGGCATGAGGACAAATGGAGATTTTCTGACTGTATGAATGTCCTGAGCGGCTGCCAGGATCAGACCGAGCAGAGGAATCATCAGGCCCACAAACAGATCATCTTCTTCTTCTTCCTCTGCAGTTTGGTTTGACTGATGGTCCACGGAGAACCAACCGCAGTTCAGGGTCAGAGGTCACAGAGGTCACAGGGGACTGGACTTATTTTAGAAGTTTCATGTCTGACAGCTGAGATAAAACCAGCGGTGACGGCTGAGAAAGAGCTGAGCTCTCTGTTTTTGAGTATAAGTGCTGATTTTATCCAGAGCTGAAAGAGAGATGCTGCTGAAAACGACAGGAAAGAAGGAGGAGAGTCGGGAAATCTGTGAATTTAAATATGTGAATTTATATTTTTAATTCGTTGAGAAAACTCGGCACAGCCCTGCGGTGGACACATGTTTTTTTTGTAACAGGGATGCTAATCGGTGTTTACAGATGACTGCTGTCCAAGCGGCTCTGACCGTGTTTTAAAACAGGAAAATGTAAAAAAAGAGAAAATTAAATAGAAAAATATAAACACACTTAAAAAACATTAAACAGAAAAATACAAACAAACAGAAAAATAAAAACAAAGAATAAAAATCTGGAAAATATCAACAGACAGAAAATAAACAGAAAAATACTAACAAAGCGGGAAAAAAACAAAAAGTATAAACAAACAGAATAAGTGAAAAAAATATAAACAAAAAAAAGGAAAAAAAACATGAGTTTCATCCTCATACGACACGTCAGCAGGATTTACAAAATCTGAACCCATCATCCCTGTGTGTGTGTGTGTGTGTGTGTGTGTGTGTGTGTGTGTGTGTGTGTTTTAATCCCTGGGATACTGTTGAGTATTTCCACTCACACAGCGGCTGTTTACGGTAAATGTGACCTCTGGTTTTAAAGTGTCAGTCAGTGACTCTGTATTAAATGCTCACATGCTAATGCTAATGCTAATAGAGCTGATCAGTTTGTCAGCAGGTTATTAATGGACAGTGGAGACATGGATCATCCACAGGTGAGCCAAATCTAGACAAAGCTTCCTGTGCTGATAATAGGCTTTAGCTTTCAGGAGCTGCTCGGTCCTGCAGCCCCCGCTCAGATTATCAGGGAGGCGGGATGATGGATGAAGGTCTATTCTGGATTATTAGCAGGAACAATAATAGGACCTCCTCCTGCTCCCCCCTCAGCTGTGAGGAGACATACCTTTACCTTCACTGAGCAGACTGACGTTCAGGACAACAGCAGCAGCAGCTTTTATCAAACTGTTTATCCGTTAGAATCCTCCGTCAGTCCGAGGGCGTCTGGCTGTTCCGGTTATTTTCCTGTCCTCGTTTATTCTGTCGGAGAGTTTTGTTCAGGTGGTTGTGAGGAAGTTGAACCAGGATGAAAATGTCGTTAAAATATCTTTACTGATGTTCAAACCTGGGTCAGCGTGTCGTTAGAAGAACGTTCAGGTTTTTTAATCTCTGAGAAACTTCAAACTCTCAACCTGTAGAACCAGCTGAACCCGGTATGTTCTGAGGTCAGAACCAGAACTGTAGAAGGGAACATGTCAGAGAGGAGAGGAAACATGAGATAGGAAACAAAGAGGATAGGAAACAGAGGGTAGGAAACAAAACGAAGGATACAAACCGTAATCTGAGTTGATTAATCCTGCAGTAATCTGAGGTTATTAATCCTGCAGTAATCTGAGGTTATTAATCCTGCAGTAATCGGAGGTTATTATTAATCCTGCAGTAATCTGAGGTAATTATTAATCCTGTAGTAATCTGAGGTAATTAATCTGCAGTAATCTGAGGTTGTTAATCCTGCAGTAATCTGAGGTTATTATTAATCCTGCAGTAATCTGAGGTTATTAATCCTGCAGTAATCTGAAGATATCATTAACCCTGCAGTAATCTGACTTTATTAATCCTGCAGTAATCTGAGTTAATTAATCCTGCAGTAATCTGAGTTTATTGATCTGCAGTAATCTGAATTTATTAATCCTGCAGTAATCTGAGGTTGTTAATCCTGCAGTAATCTGAGGTTATTATTAATCCTGCAGTAATCTGAGGTTATGAATCCTGCAGTAATCTGAGGTTATCATTAATCCTGCAGTAATCTGAGGTAATTATTAATCCTGTAGTAATCTGAGGTAATTAATCTGCAGTAATCTGAGGTTGTTAATCCTGCAGTAATCTGAGGTTATTATTAATCCTGCAGTAATCTGAGGTTATTAATCCTGCAGTAATCTGAAGATATCATTAACCCTGCAGTAATCTGACTTTATTAATCCTGCAGTAATCTGAGTTAATTAATCCTGCAGTAATCTGAGTTTATTGATCTGCAGTAATCTGAATTTATTAATCCTGCAGTAATCTGAGGTTGTTAATCCTGCAGTAATCTGAGGTTATCATTAATCCTGCAGTAATCTGAGGTTATCAATCCTGCAGTAATCTGAGGTTATTAATCTGAAGTAATCTGAATTTATTAGTCCTGCAGTAATCTGAAGTTGTTAATCCTGCATTAATCTGAGGTTATAAATCTGCAGTAATCTGAGGTTATTAATCCTGCAGTAATCTGAGGTTATCATTAATCCTGCAGTAATCTGAGGTTAGTAATCTGCAGTAATCTGAGGTTGTTTATCCTGCAGTAATCTGAGGTTATCATTAATCCTGCAGTAATCTGAGGTTTATTAATCCTGCAGTAATCTGAGGTTATTAATCTGCAGTAATCTGAATTTATTTGTCCTGCAGAGATCTGAAATTGTTAATCCTGCAGTAATCTGAGGTTATCATTAATCCTGCAGTAATCTGAGGTTATCATTAATCCTGCAGTAATCTGAGGTTAGTAATCTGCAGTAATCTGAGTTTATTGATCCTGCAGTAATCTGAGTTTATTGATCCTGCAGTAATCTGAGGTTGTTTATCCTGCAGTAATCTGAATTTATTAATCCTGCAGTAATCTAAGGTTGTTAATATGCAGTAATCCGAGGTTATTTATCCTGCATTTATCTGAGGTTATCATTAACCCTGCAGTGATCTGAAATTGTTAAACCTGCAGTAATCTGAGGTTATTAATCTGCAGTAATCTGAGGTTATCATAAATCCTGCAGTAATCTGAGGTTATCATTAATCCTGCAGTAATCTGAGGTTCTTATTAATCCTGCAGTAAACTGAGGTTATTAATCTGCAGTAATCTGAGGTTGTTAATCCTGCAGTAATCCTGCAGTAATCTAAGGTTATCATGAGTTTATTGATCCTGCAGTAATCTGAGGTTGTTAATTCTGCAGTAATCTGAGGTTATCATTAATCCTGCAGTAATCTGAATTTATTAATCCTGCAGTAATCTGAGGTTATTAATCTGCAGTAATCTGAGGTTATCATTAATCCTGCAGTAATCTGAGTTTGTCATGACCCTTCACAGTTGTCTCTCTTTTTGAGGAAAGGGCAGTTGGAGCTCAGGCTGTTGAAATTTCTTCTTTCTCTATTTTTAATCTCGTTTTCGCTTCCAGATTAGAGGAAAAAACCTCTTTTTTAAACCCCTGCAGAATGAGAAGGATCCAGCAGGGGGTGCAGTCGAGGCAGCAGCGTTGACTGTATCCTGAGTGTTTGATGAGCTGACTGTAGCAGCAGAGGAGGAGGAGCTGCTCCTGCTGTTTCTTCCTCTCAGAGGATGGAGGTCTGGATAAGTCAGGTCTGAGGAGGAGCTGCTGATGGAGATTTTCAGTTTGACCTTCTCCTGATCCTGATCCTAATCCCGATCCTGAGTCTGAGTCTGAGTCTGCTTTACCTGAACCCCAGTTTTTCTGCTGTTCAGACACTCTGTGCTACTGCGGAGGAGAGCAGACATTCAGGCCGGAGGGAAAGATCTGAAATGATTCTGTAACTCTGTAAAATTACAGATTAAAAAAAGAGTTTGACCTCTGTAACAACAGCAGCTGTAGGCTCTGTAGGAGAAGAGTCCTGCTGCCAAACTGACACTCGTTAAACATTAAATATGGACTTTTAATGATTTGAAAACCACCACGTTTTCATCAACACTTTACAGCCGACAGGGTTCAGGAAAAACAAACCAGGACGATGAAAAAGCAGAAACAATAATAATAATAATAAAAATAATAAAAATCAAAGTGAAGCTGAGCGTCTTTAAACTCGACAGTATTTACTCAGTTTCATGTTTCATGCATAAGTATGAACAAAGCAGAGAATTACTCTCTGTTTCCTCTTTTGTTGGAAACTCTCATGAATCTTTCATGATGAAATGTTTTTTTAATTCTCCTCCTGCAGTTTTAATGGTGAATATTCTGCAGCGTTCATGCAGCAGCAGCAGCAGCAGCAGCGGCGGCGGCGGCGGCGGTCTGCAGTAAACCTCTGATTCAGGATCTGCCGTGTTCTCTGCAGGAACCTGCTCTCTTCTGATCCCTGTAATTGGATTTCAGAAGATCCTCTAAAGTTATTAATAAAGGGCTCATGCAGCAGAGCTCAGTACGAAGGACCGTGGACCTGAAATGCCCCCCACCCCTTCTGGCCTCTGCATAGAGGCCTCATACAGAGAGTGACCTGCAGGGGGCGTGAGAGGGTGCAGAGCAGTCAGTCTAAACAGTAACACAATCTGCTACGAAGGACGCAGTTAAAGTCTTTTTCTTTGTTTCTGTTTTTTTCTCAGTGGACTGAGATGTCGGAGTTAGGATTAGTCAAAGAAGTTTGAGATTATCTAGGGGGCGCTGTGGAGTCAGCTCCATGTGGCAACTTAAAAATGCTTTGCAAAAAAAAACAAAAACAAATAACAACAAGTACACTTTCATTAAGAAGACTGCATGACTTTGATAATCCGAACGTAACGACAGAAAGATCGATGTAAAGTGACAGAGTGCTCGGCAGTCATGCTGTTATTGTTGTTCTGACCATCTTTTCATGAGTTTGAGCGAGTCGTTTTTTTGGCGAGGGAGACTTTGTAGCTGCTGCCTGATGGGATGGATGGGGTTGCCTGGAATTACTTTGGCTGTCCTTTTAACCGCTGTACCCGGGTACCTGACGGCCTCCACCTGCTTCACCGTCTCCTCGCTCAGCCTCAGGGGCGCAGAGAGGTGGACCCGGTCCATGATTCTGTTTACCTGCTGGAAAGAGGCCGACAGGTATGAGGGGTCACATGATCTCCGGGTAACTTTAACCTTTGACCTCTGAGTTATGACCTGGTGGTCTGCTGAAAGGAGGATAAACATGCTTTCATATCCAGAGAGGAAGACGAAGAATAGACCGTTTTATTTAATAACTATATATCAATAAAAATTACGACGATAATATAGATTATATATAGTTATGTGTGATTATTATATCGACATTTGCAGCAGGTTATTTTGGAGCTTTTTAAGCTGCACTGAAAAAATGAAAAATGACATTAAAATTTCACCTCTTATAGATTTATCTTTATTAATTTATCTGTTATTTTTGTAACTGCATTTTTGGACTCTCTGTCTGTGATGCTGCTGTGACAAAAAAATTTCCCCTATGGGGATCAATAAAGGAATAATCTATTCTATTTGAAGTTTTAAAGGTTTTCAGACTGAATTATTTTAATTTATTATTAATTATTTGAATTTATCTCTGTTTTAAAGTGATAGAATCAGTTTTATTCCATAAAACTAAAAAATAATAATAATCATTAAAAATACTCCCAGAGGTCAAAGTGGTGGAAATATGTTCAGGACCCATCGAGGTTTCGTTATCCTCTTAATTTTAATGAGACAGCAGAAGAAGAGTTTCAGACGGAGGCTAAAACAAGAATCTTTGAATAAACTGAATTACTTTTATTCTGAAAATCAGGGAAAAAGAATAAAGAGGAAGTACCAAAGTATAAAATATCAGAGATAAAAAAAACCAACAGGACTGAAGGTCGTCTACGTTTCTGTACACTGCTCGTCTTTTAATACACTCTATGTGTTTTATTTCTATAACTGATGTTCGTTTCTGTTCCATGTGTCGACGCCGACCTGCTAATGGGACTGGGGATGGAAATTAGCCACCCAGATATAATCTCGTGTGTGTGTGTGTGTGTGTGTGTGTGTGTGTGTGTGTGTGTGTGTGTGTCTGAGCCGTTTGAAGGGTTTCTGCTTTTAGTCTCACAGAGGAGCAACAACAACAGCGACGGCAACTTGCATGTTACTGCAACGAGGAGGAGGCTGACACAAAGGGGAGGAGAGACAGGGAAGGAAGGGAGGAGAGAGGGGGAGAGGGAGGAGGAGAGCGGGGGAGAGGGAGGAGGAGTTTTCAAAAGAGGAGGAGGGGAGGAAAGCTGACAATCAGGAGGCAAACCCCACGCTGAAGCTGTTTTCAGGAGGAGAGCTGAGCCTCCCTCCCTCTCTCTCTCTCTCTCTCTCTCTCTCTCTCTCTCTCTCTGTGTCTCTGTCTCCGTCTCTCTCTCTGCCCCCCCCCCTCGGTGGCGTCTCCTCTCCTTTTAGCTCCTCACTCTCTCAGTCTTGCCTCTGTAAAGGGAGCAGCAGCTTGTGTGTCGGTCTCCGCAGTTCGATCTCTGGAGCAGATTAATCTGGAGTCCGATGGTCATGGTCAAAGAAAAAGGTACTGAGCTCTGTGTGTGTGTGTGTGTGTGTGTGTGTGTGTGTGTGTGTGTGTGTGTGTGTGTGTGTGTGTGTGTGTGTGTGTGTGTTTGCAGTATAAATGTGTGTGTTTGCTGTGTTGCTGATGCTGTCTGCAGTGTCTCCGCCTGGTTCTGCAGCTGTGTCTCTCTCTCTCTCTCTCTCTCGGTCGTCTGGCTGCTTTAATCACCTGATCTTCTCAGGTGTTTGTGTGTGTGTGTGTGTGTGTGTGTGTGTGTGTGTGTGTGTGTGTGTGTGTGTTTTCAGACTCTCTAGGGTGTGTATTGTGTGTGTGGGTTTATTTTTGTACTCTCTGAGGTGTCGTCTTGGAGTGTGGGGGTGTTTTTGGTGCAGGAGTCGGACTGCTGACTGTGGTTGTTCATCTTGAAGGTTTTCTGCTACGCCCTGATCTCAGCACTGATGCTGGGCCTGGATCCTGCTGGATCCTGCTGGATCCTGCTGGATCCTGCTGTATTTGTCAGCATTAGTCTTTGTGTTGATGTGTTTGGGATCATGTGGCGTGCCGAGAGGCGTGCTGTGATGTCAGAGGCGTGCTGTATGTGCAGGTTATTCAGGTTTAGAGGGTTAGATATGGAGAAAGTGGAGCAGTGTAGAGACACACACTGCGCAGAGCCACAGACCCGCACTCTCTCTCTCCTTCTCGCTCCCTCTGTCTGCAGCCGTTGCCATGGCGACCATCGAAAGGTACCCTCCATTGTTGTCAGCTGTGGCCTCATTCATAGTGTCCCCATAACAGCGGGAAAGGCTGCTGTTTCCCGCCCTGTGGGTGAGGTGGTCGCCCAGCCGAGTGGGACGAATCAGGAGGTCCCGTTTGGCATCTACGACTCACGGCTCACGGTTCACGGCATGGTCGTGGTCGTGGTCGTGGTCGTGAGGGTGACGAGTGTTTGTCAGTATGACTCACAGCCAGCAGAAACATGAAGACAGTTTTCTGAAACAGAGACCTGCTGTTAAAACTGAAGTCATGGACATCTGAGGGTCTAACCTCTGGAGAAGGTGAATTTAACCCAGTATGAACCCAGCAGACCAGGTTCTGGAGACCTCAGTGAACCCAGCAGACCAGGTTCTGGTCCCATTCTGGCCTGATAGAAGATTTCAGCTGCTCCACGGGTCAGGGTCTCCTTGGTCCTGGTTCTTGTCCCTCTAGTACAGAGGTTTCTTCAGATCCTCTCAAGAACTTTATTCTGGTGACGTGTTCGCTGATGCTGTCTCTCACAGCTGTTAATAAATTCATATGTCATCGTTGTTGTTGTTGTTGTCATTGTTGTCGTTGTTGTCATTGTCGTTGTTGTTGTCATTGTTGTCTTTGTCATTGTTGTTGTTGTTGTCATTGTTGTTGTCATTGTTGTCATTGTCATTGTTGTTGTTGTTGTCGTTGTCATTGTTGTCGTTGTCATTGATGTCTTTGTCGTTGTCATTGTTGTGGTTGTTGTCATTGTCGTTGTTGTCATCGTCGTTGTTGTTGTCATTGTTGTTGTTGTAATTGTTGTTGTTGTTGTCATTGTTGTCGTTGTCATTGTTGTTGTTGTTGTCATTGTTGTCGTTGTCATTGTTGTTGTTGTCGTTGTCATTGTTGTCGTTGTCATTGATGTCTTTGTCGTTGTCATTGTTGTGGTTGTTGTCATTGTTGTTGTTGTCATTGTTGTTGTTGTCATTGTTGTTGTCGTTGTCATTGTTGTCGTTGTTGTTGTCGTTGTCATTGTTGTTGTTGTTGGTTCCCTAACTGTATTTGTTGGTTGTTATTTATTGTTCCAGATTTTTACTCGTGTTGTTTTATCGCTCCTTTTGTTGCTCCTCTAATCCTTTGACCAGGTCGTCCTTGTAAATGAGATCATGATCCGATGAAATAAAAGTTAAATAAAAGTTAAATAAAAGTTAAATTCAAGTTAAATAGAAAGTTTAATAAAAGTTAAATAAAAGTTAAATAAAAGTTAAATAAAAGTTAAATTCAAGTTAAATAGAAAGTTTAATAAAAGTTAAATAAAAGTTAAATAAAAGTTAAATAAAGGTAAAAAAAAAAGAGCAGAGATTTTTTGTCAAACGCGTTTCAGTGTAAAATAAAAACAGACTTTTTAAACCGTCAAACCGCCTCGTTAGCGTCGACGTCCTGACTCGTGTTGACTCAGGTTTGTGTATCTGTGCTCGCCGTATTTAAGAGATCAGGTCTGAATTAAAGAGATCAATAAGTCAATAATTGATCCGTGAGCCTCTTGTTAGTGCATTAACTTAAGCTGATTGGTGTATTTCTCCTGTTTCCAGCTGGAGTGGAGTTTGTGTTCGGTGTGTGGGTTTGAGATATTTTTAATCTGCTCTGAAAATAAAAATGCTGTTTGCAGAGACGTGTGGAGGTTTGTTTCATGAGGACTCGACCCACCACAACACAAACAGGTCATGTGGTCCCTGCACTGGCAGAACAGCCCAAACCCCTGGCCACCACATGTTCGACTCCCACAATCCCTCTGAAAGTTTCCAGGGACCCAGCCCGCCGCCTCGCCTCGCCTTGCCTCGCCTACTCAGGGTCTGTTTTTGGCAGGAGGGTTTTGAGGTTTGGTTTTTTCGTTCCTCCAAACAGAGAGCTGCTCGCACTTCCTGACTTCAGGTTTCTTCGTGTTTCCTCAGAGAGCTCATCCTGCAGCCCCTCACAGGCCAGGTGGGCCGAACGCCATCACAGCTGAGCGAACACTGAGCCGACTGTACGCTCAGAGTGATGAATCATATGAAAGAGAGTGCAGCGTAAGCGTTTGTCTGCGTGAGAAAGGGCGGGCGAGCGAGCGAGCGGCTGTCCTATTTTCACAGCGCCAACAGTCAAAGCACAGACAGCGCTTCTTCTTCTTCTGCACATTTTACAGACCAATGATTATTTCAATCCTCACTCTGCTGTAAATGATCAATCTGAGAATTTACCTCCACAACACACTACAACTCCCACAAGTCTTTGCAACTAGACTTTTTACATCATAGTCTGATGTTTTGATCCTTCCTGCCTGCCGTAGTTTTGCAAAGTGCTGCAGAGATCTGCAGAGGAGGATCATCTTTGAGGTCTGACTCCGTCCTCATTATCACCTTCATCATCATCATCATCATCTTCATCATCATCATCATCATCACCTTCATCATTATCATCATCATTACCTTCATCATCATCATCACCTTCATCATTATCATCATCACCTTCATGATCATTACCTTCATCATCATCATCATCATCATCATCATCTTCATCATCATCATCATCATCATCTTCATCATCATCATCATCATCATCACCTTTATCATCATCATCATCATCATCATCATCACCTTCATCATTATCATCACCTTCATCATTATCATCACCTTCATCATCATCATCACCTTCATCATCATCATCATTTCCACCTTCATCATCATCATCATCATCATCATCATCACCTTCATCATCATCATCATTTCCACCTTCATCATCATCATCATCATCACCTTCATCATTATCATCACCTTCATCATCATCATCATCATCATCATCATTTCCACCTTCATCATCATCATCATCATTTCCACCATCATCATCATCATCATCATCACCTTCATCATCATCATTTCCACCTTCATCATCATCATCATCATTTCCACCATCATCATCATCATCATCACCTTCATCATCATCACCTTCATCATCATCATCATCATTTCCACCTTCATCATCATCATCATCATCATCATCACCATCCCCTTCATCATCATCAGTGCTCAGGTTTGTTTACTGACACACTCAGAGGTCTAGAAAAGACTGACACTTGTGTGTGTCTGTGTGTGTCTGTGTGTGGGGGTTGTCTGTCCTCCCTCCGTCTGTGTCTTTACTGTGTGTCTCGTACAGATCACATGTTTTATGTGTTTTAATTGTTTTTAGGTGTTTTTAGTGTTTTTACCCTCTCAGTGGATTTGAATAGATGTCAGGTTGTTTATTCTGGATTATCATGACCTCCTAATCTGAAGAGTAATCTGGATTTCTTTGTTACCTGTTGTGAAAAAATGAACCGATCTCATAGTTCGACTAAAGTCGCAGTGAAACTTCTCACAGTGGGACTGACACACCTGGACGAAGTAGATGTGGATTCTCTCTGTCATGTTTTCGCCTTGATCCTCTGTGGTCACACGGCGGGCTCTGATGAGTAAACAGACGAAGACGGGAAAACTGAAACAGTGACTCATCGTTTAGTCTGCGTCAAAGGTCGACCAGGAGCTTGGAGACAGAACAAACAGGAGGAAGCCCATACTATCACCATGGTAACTAACCACATATAGCCACATTGGCCTGTAGTATATACACTCACCGGCCACTTTATTAGGTACACCTGTCCAACTGCTCGTTAACACTTAATTTCTAATCAGCCAGTCACATGGCGGCAACTTAGTGCATTTAGGCATGTAGGCATGGTCAAGACAATCTCCTGCAGTTCAAACCGAGCATCAGTATGGGGAAGAAAGGTGATTTGAGTGACTTTGAACGTGGCATGGTTGTTGGTGCCAGAAGGGCTGGTCTGAGTATTTGAGAAACTGCTGATCTACTGGGATTTTCACGCACAACCATCTCTAGGGTTTACAGAGAATGGTCCGAAAAAGAAAAAATATCCAGTGAGCGGCAGTTCTGTGGGCGGAAATGCCTTGTTGATGCCAGAGGTCAGAGGAGAATGGCCAGACTGGTTCGAGCTGATAGAAAGGCAACAGTGACTCAAATAACCACCCGTTACAACCAAGGTAGGCAGAGGAGCATCTCTGAACGCACAGTACGTCGAACTTTGAGGCAGATGGGCTACAGCAGCAGAAGACCACGCCGGGTGCCACTCCTTTCAGCTAAGAACAGGAAACTGAGGCTACAATTTGCACAAGCTCATCGAAATTGGACAATAGAAGATTGGAAAAACGTTGCCTGGTCTGATGAGTCTCGATTTCTGCTGCGACATTCAGATGGTAGGGTCAGAATTTGGCGTCAACAACATGAAAGCATGGATCCATCCTGCCTTGTATCAACGGTTCAGGCTGGTGGTGGTGGTGTCATGGTGTGGGGAATATTTTCTTGGCACTCTTTGGGCCCCTTGGTACCAATTGAGCATCGTTGCAACGCCACAGCCTACCTGAGTATTGTTGCTGACCATGTCCATCCCTTTATGACCACAATGTACCCAACTTCTGATGGCTACTTTCAGCAGGATAATGCGCCATGTCATAAAGCTGGAATCATCTCAGACTGGTTTCTTGAACATGACAATGAGTTCACTGTACTCAAATGGCCTCCACAGTCACCAGATCTCAATCCAATAGAGCATCTTTGGGATGTGGTGGAACGGGAGATTCGCATCATGGATGTGCAGCCGACAAATCTGCGGCAACTGTGTGATGCCATCATGTCAATATGGACCAAGCTCTCTGAGGAATGCTTCCAGCACCTTGTTGAATCTATGCCACGAAGAATTGAGGCAGTTCTGAAGGCAAAAGGGGGTCCAACCCGTTACTAGCATGGTGTACCTAATAAAGTGGCCGGTGAGTGTATATACATATATATATATATATATATATATATATATACATATATATACTACAGGCCAAAAGTTTGGAAGCAGGATCAGATTAGTACAAACAAAGATCATAGTTTCATAAATATAAATTTAAACACAGTTACC